TTCAGTGATAAGGCAGCATAGATCCTTACAAAATCAGCATTGTTGCCGGTGACGACTACGATAACTGATTGGCTGATCACAGACTCGTCCTTTTTCTTTTGTTTGCTTTTGTTTTAGCTTCTTCTTCCCTCGTTTTCACTGACTTCCGTTCGCCGTTTCTTTTTCTGTTTTTCTTCTGTCAGCCTCTCTCGCCACTTTATTCTTATGCCTCTCTCTTTATATAAATATGTCTCTCTCTCTTTTTGTGTTTGTTTGTTTGTTTTTGGTCGTTTGTGTTTCTCCCTGCGTGTTTGTGTGTGTCGGTTTCTCTCACTTTTTGTCTAACACCCCACGCCGCACACCCCCCTCTCTCTCTCGCTCTCTCCCACGCACACACACACACGCAGGCAGGCAGGCAAAGAGACGCAAAATTGTCGGGCCTGCGCCGTTGCGCCCCGGTCCCCCTCCTCCTCCCCCCTCCGGACAAATTTAACGGCGCCACGCCCCCTCCACGAGGGCCCGCGGGTGGCGCCGCTCGCCAGCCAACGCACCGACAGGAACACCACCGGAAGGAAAAGAATACAAAAAAAAAAGAGCGAGAAAACGTAACATATTCTATTCCTTTTTTCGTTTTTTTTTTAGTTGGCTCCCCCCCCGTAAAAATTCATTTATACATCTTACGTATATGCGCACTCAACTACATGTCTCTCTTTCTAATACGCCCCCTCGCACTTTACCTCCCTCCACTATTCCTCCCTTTATCCGCCCCTCAGCACAGCAAGTGTGGGGCGCCTACGTGGACATAACCCACGTCCCCAAGAGCACCGCCGCCAGCGCCACCAGCAGTGCTAACAGGATCTTCTTTTTCAGCGAATTCTGCTTTTGCGCCAGTTCCCGCCGGTTCTTCTCCGCCAATGTGCTCACCTCCAGTTCCCGGAGGTGCGTCTTGGCTGCAGGGACGAGGGGACTCAAAGTTTCCGCGGGTTTTGGAGAAATCGCGGTTCCCTCAGTAGGGACCGACGCCAGCGGGGAGGTGTCGGTGCGCTCCGCGCTGCTTGGCTTGTTCGGGGCCTTGGGGGACTCGTCGAGCATGCAGCGAAATTTCTTCGTGTGCACTTGATTCTTGTCCACCAGCTTCCGCGCCTTGATGATGTCCGGCACGTTCGCACAGCTGGGCTCGATGACATCGTTCGGCCCAATCACGCAGTACTGGACGCGGAAGTCGTCGAAGCCGCCAAGAGCTTCTTCCTCCTCCTCCAGCCGGCTGCGGTTGAGCATCACCGTGACCCGGATGGACGCATTTGGCTTGATCACCCCCTTTGTCGGCGTCACCGAGTACCGCAGGGGGTTTGTCGTGAGCATGCGGAACAGCACCGTTTCAAACGAGACGTTAGTGAGCTGCACCACAAACTCCTCCTTGACATACGGCACAATATGAAACTTCTCCGGAGACACAATCAGTGCCGCAGTGGTTGTCGCTAGTGCGTTGCTACCATTTGTATCTGTCATTTTTTTTTCCCCCAACCTCTTTTTTCCTCCTTTATTTATGTGTACGTGTTGTTGTTGTTGGTTTTCTTTTATGTATTTCTTCGGCTGCGCCCTTGTGGGTCCTAGAAGAGCGAATTCGGTCAGCTGGAACGGCGGGGAGTTCTGTCGGCGGACGACAAAGTATACGTATATATCGTTGACATTCAGAGAAAGAAAAAAAACAAAGCGTGGGAATAGAAAGAGAGAGATATATGGAGTGTGGCGTGAAGAGACGCACACACACACACACACACAGCCGCAGGTCCTCCATGTGCGTGCAGGCCCGCCTCCCCCCGCCGCATCGGCCACGCACAAACAACAACAACAAGAAGAAGAGCAATAAGGCAGAGGCCCTCGCACGCCCCCTCCCCCAAGGAAGAGGCGTATTTTTATTGTTATCAGTGGCGTATGCAGGTGGTGTTACTTCCCAAACCACAGCACCGGCCCCAGGCCTGTCCCCACAAAGCTGCCCCACACTTCCATGGGCGACTGCGACGCAGGTGAGCCCTCCCTCCCGGCCCCGTCGCCGCTCTTCCCCCCGACACTGCCGTGGAAGTCTACCAACTCCCGGACAGTGACGCGCTCGACCTTCACAACAACCTCGTCGCCGTTTACGTACGGGTTGAGCGCCGGCTCCCCCGCGTCCTCCTCCTCCTCCTCGTCGCCCTCCACCTGCAACGCCCAGCACTGCTTCTCCTCCTGGTAGGAGGAGGGCGCAACAAGGAGGTCGCCGGGCACAAGGAACACAAACTGAAAGAAGTCCAGCGTGAGAAAAATGCCCTCGCGATTTTGCGCGACAATCGTCGCGCGCAGGCGCGCCCCTGGCGTTGGAGCGAAAACGCAGAGCCGGAATTGGGCCGTGAGCCACGCCGACGCGGAGGGTCCCCGCACGATGCCCTCCGTGTACTGCAGGATCTCGTGGATGGCGACACACAGCCCGCACCCCGGCACGATCTTTCCCACATACCGCTCCGTGAGGCGGTGCATAAGGACGTCCTCAAAGGATGCCTGGTAGCGCTGCTGCGCGTCGAGCGGCTCCCCCGCGTCCTCTTCGGCCGCGGAGGACGCGGCGGCAATGGCCACGCGCTCCTGAAAGTACACCGGCTCCACCTCCAGCACGTCACGCAGGGCGTAGCTGTGGAAAATAGACATCCGCCGCGCCACCCAGCAACCCCGGCGCCGGTGGCGACGACGGCACGCACGCACGCTAAAAAAAAAGAGTAGAAACAAAAAAGAAAAGAAAACGAAAAGCGACAACCACAAGACGATGGCATGCCGGTCTTTAGGACTTACGCAGCTGCACCGGGGGCCTTCAGGGGCAAAAAAAAAAGATGCATGCGGAGCAGAAGTAATAGTAATAGCTGCGTCCACAACAGCCTCCTCCTTTCATTTCTTCTTCTCATCAC